ATATAGCATTTTCACTATTTTTTCAGAATCTTTGTGAATATTGTTTCAATTATCTTCCCTGATATTCATAATATACTACAGAGAAATGTACACAATACTGTAATTTTTCCTTAAGTAAAGTTGGGAATTGGGCGTACCTTTCATGTATCTTTAATGCAATACCTTCATTAAAGTACATATGGATATTTTCTGCTATAGAGTTGTGGAATAGCACACACGGTACAGTTATATCCTCCTGGGAACACTGACCAAGCCCACTTGAACTTTAACTAAAAAAATCCTGAATGATGTGCAGCTGGAGGAAATGTCATCTGACTACTGAGAGGATATTAGGAAGCGAGAATTCTTTTCTCATGGCCTGGCTCACATGTGAGAAGCTATATACCATCGAGAGCAGGACCCCACAGAAAAGCAACAGCAGCTACTCAGAGAAGAACTCAGGGATACTGGTAGATGAAAAACTGGACATGAGCCAGCAATGTACGCTTGCAGCCCAGAAAGCCAGTCAGATCCTGGGCTGCATCAAAAGAAGCATGGTCAGCAGGTTGAGGGAAGTGATTCTCCCTCTCTACTTCGCTCTTGTGAAACCCCACCTGGAGTACTCCCTTCAGCTCTGGGGTTCTCAGCACAAGAAAGACATGGAGCTGTTAGGGTGGGTCCAGAGGAGGGCCACAAAAATGATCTGATACCTGGAACACTTCTCCTATGAAGAAAGGCTGAGAATTGGGGTTGTTCTGACTGGAGATGAGGAAGGTTCAAGGAGACCTTCTTGCAAGCTTTCAATACTTAACGGGGGCTTATAAGAAAGATGGAGAAAGACATTTTATCAATTCTTGTGGTGACAGGATGAGAAGCAATGGTTTTAAACTGAAAAAGACTAGATTTTGAATAGATACAAGGAAGAAATATTTTATGCTGAGTATGGTGAGACACTGGAACAGGTTTCCCAGCGGAGTTACAGATGCCTCACCATTGGAAGTGTTCAAGGTCAGGTTGGATGGGGCTTTGAGAAACCTAATCTAGTGAAAGACGTCCTTGCCCACAACAGGGGTGTTGGACTAGATGTTCTTTGAAGGTCCTTTCCAATGCAAGCCATTCTATCATTCTACTTAATACTTAACCTGTTTCTGCCAGAGGATGCTGCCTTTACAGTTCAGATATTAGAGATTCCCTGCTCATGGGAGACTAGAGCTCCCTCCCCAACCTGATGGGAGAAAACCCTCAGCTCTCACATCCTGGGAGAGGTCTCAGCCATCCCTGCTCCTCCCATAACCTTCTTAACCCCATGCTCTGGTCTGCCAAGGCCCTCCTGTCCCCTCCATGGCCAGGGCCAATAATGCACTGGGCTGCTGGACATCACGTGGCACCCCAGCACCTCAGTTTGGAACAGGTTTGGGTTTCAGGCTGGGGCCCAGCCACCCAAAATATGGGTGCTGCAATGTCAGCGTCCTTCTTGGAGCAAACTTTTCATACACAGGGTAGTGCCTGATGGTGGATATTACCTTGGATCCCATGCATCATTTTTCTAACCTTGTCCCTGTGTCCCTGACCTCTTTCAATAACCAAAATGCCAATGACCAGGAGAAGAGTGTGTTTAGATCTGACAGAATTTAAAGCAGCTCAAGTGACAGTGCCCTTTCCCCCAAACTAGATGAGTCACTCTCCAGGACTACCAGCAAATCTCACTTTCTCAGAGTATATCAGGATGGCCTGCCACCTCTAGTGCTCTGATATAGGCAGCAACTAGTTGATAGTTTTTGTTGCTGGAACTGTATGAATGTGTAAATGTGCAAGATATTAGTTTCTGGGAGCTGTGGGTGGGGAAGGGCTGAAGGGGTCTTTGCTTTTTTCCTGGTTGGTGAATTTGACAGTGGGAGCATGCATATGGGAGACAGGCTTTAGCTGAGACTGTGGTTTGTTTGTGTTAGAGGAATTGGAAAGAAGTGCTGTGTATTGACAGATAAACTGAGGACTACAAGTCTCTTTACCTAGGTTGTCTTCTGGATGTGTGAGCTTAGCTCTGAGATGGTGGAAGGGCTCTGGAATTCTGCAGGAGCAGAAATATCTGCAGGAATGGAAAAAAACTTGGTTGATACATAGACTCTGTAATGACCTGTAACCGCTCCTTGTTGGAAAGGGGTATGAACATTCAAATGGCATAGATTTCTTCAGGCCCAAATCTTTACCTCAGCAATTTGCTTTATTTATGGTACAGATTGACAGGTCAGACTCGGAAAAAAGACATAACTAAGAATTGAGGTCCTTTCCTGAATTGCCAATATGGGTACTTTCTGATGAATTAAAACATCATTAAGAAAAGAACAGAGCATCTGTTGTTCAGCTGTACTGACCTACATCGCAGAAATCACATCTTACAACATCTCCCTTCGCACAAATTCATGCAGAGCCTTATAAAAACACTTCTTGGAGAATCCCCCACTTTTTTGCAATTTCAAGTGTGCAGATGGGCACATGTGCACCAGTGTACATATGCTCTTCTTCCTACATCTTTCTTTTAGACTCCAACCCAGTAGTTCAGCTAGACTCCAGCTTCCTTCTGCTGTGACCAAATCTTTGTCTCTTGACCAGTCACCTTGCCATGTCTGTGGCTCTCAGGCACCAGCACTATCACACTGAAGGACCCAGATTACTCTTCTTCTTTCGGAATTTTACCAACACAATCGTCAAATGCTTTTAGTAATACTTATTTCCCTCTTAGTGACCTGCTTAATGTATTGCTCTTAGGCATTTCTTATAAGCTTCACACGATCACATGGGGAAGATAAATGTTGTCACCCCATTGTACAGCTGGGATAGCTGCAGCACAGACATACCAAGCAATCCACCCTGGGTCATACAGTGAGTCGGTGGGAAAGCCAGCAATAGAATCCATAAGTCCTGCATCCAAGTTCTCTAAGTGCCTTGACTAGTCCAGATTCCCTCCCTAACACCCTTGTCAAATTATTTATAGGAGATGTATTCATATAGTCAGTAAGACATCAAGATTTTCTAATTATATCTAGTCATGTCAAATGACAATTATGCCCTTAGTTCAGTTTGCCAGACAATGCTTTGCCAAAGAAGGTTTGCCAAAAATTTTTTGACCGAAGAAAGAGTAGGCATCTGTATCATCTGCAGACTGGATCGTATAAAATGTCCCTGCGACAAGTCTGCCCTGTCTCCACGGAAAGCTTCAAGGTAAGTGTATGGGGTCTGCAGGCTTGCAGGAAGGGGATGGTGCCCTTGTGAGCCACAACATTCATGCTGCCTCCAGTGCTCATTTCCAGAATGGGACTCAATTTCTCAGCTCAGGTTTTAAATCTGCTTTCAAGGCACCTGCACGTTTTCACTCTGGATTTCTGTACAGCAGCAAGTAGGGAGTTGCCATTTCTGTTTTACAGTGCTGACCAGCTGCCAGCCTGCAAGCCACCCATCTGGTGTCACAAGAGGTAAGATCCTGATTTATTAATTCTTAGAGAGCAGAGAAAGATCCTGTTGGGTGGGATTTCTGTTTGGCTGAGTGAATGGTCACTGTTTCACCTGATATTTTTAAACCCAGTGTTGTCACAGCAGAAGGTGGTGGGGTGCCGAAGGCTGGTAAGGTTTTCAGATGAATCATAGAATCATAGAACAGCCCAGGTTGGAAGGGACCTCAAAAGATCATCTAGTCCAATCTTTAAGTGGCTGCATTTGAGGCCTCTGACCACTGATGGCAGACCAGAAAATCCCCATGGGGACGTTCTTCACTTCTGCTTAAGTGACCTAACAGGGAGCAAGGAGTGCTGGCTTCCCATCTTTGCTGTCACAGCAGTAGAACTGGATAAGCATAGTATGAAAAAGTGCAAAATTCAACATTTAGTCTCAGAGCATGTGAATTAATATATTATTTTGTCCAAAATTTGCCATGAAATCACTAAAGAAGTAACAGTAATATGAGCAACCATCTCTGTAAAACTCAATGTTGTTGCTTGTTCCCCTTACTGATCTGCCTGTTCTCTACCTGACAAAAAATGGAAGCTGCAGCCCTCTGTAAGCCACCACCTGTTCCTGCAGGGACAAGTAAAGAATTATCATGTTACTCTCTCATTTTAGCACAAATATAACATAATATTAAAAATTCTATAAATATTAGGTACCTATCTCTATACAGGATAGAAATAAATAAATGTTTTACTCAGCTGCCCACTGGTTTTTTTTCGGGGGGGGGGGGGAAGAAAAGAAGTAATTTTTCAGATAAATTAATCCTGGCTTTAAAATTCATTATTTTTTAAATTCCTGAGTTGAGCTTTGAATTTTTGTGTTTAACTATCTTTTCCCCTAAAATTATATTAATTTTAAAAAAGCAAAAGAAAATAATAGAAATGGAGCTATGTCAGTGTGTTCTGGACCAGCATTACTCTTTTTTTGACAGACATTGTAGCCATTTATGCCTGGATTCAAGAACTCACTAAAATTAGCAAATAACAGTATCATTAATACAATAATACAAATGTTTTAGAGACTGGAATTGAGCCATTAAGATGCTCAAGTTGTCTGTATGCCACTCTACACAGTGGTGCATGAGCCTTCTAAGCTTTCTGAATTAGTATCACTTGGGAAGAAACTGCATTATAATAATTTCAAGTGAATTTTAAAAGAGTGCCTGGGCAGCTGAAAGGAATTTTGAGGTTCTTAACTCCACAGTACAGTGCCTAAATATTTGACTACTAAGTGACTATGTAATATTTGAAAAGTGATTTCAGTACAGCGGACCCTAAGCCAAATGATATCCCAAAATATAATTTTTACATTTTCTGTAAATGTTGAATCACACCAAGGCAAAAATATACTTCCAAAAAAGCTATGAATAGTATTAAAACAGTATCTTTCTTTTCCCATCTTTTCTTCTACTAACAATTACTTACTTTTGACATGTTTGGGCAACATATCTGCTCTTCCATAGTGATCGCTGCTGACGTGACCCTCCATAAAGTGCAGACATGGCCTCTTCAGACTCTGAGATGGCCATCTTTGGGGAGGCGGCTCCTTACCTCCGAAAGTCAGAGAAGGAGAGAATTGAGGCCCAGAACAAGCCTTTTGATGCCAAGTCATCTGTCTTTGTGGTGCATCCTAAGGAATCCTTTGTGAAAGGGACAATCCAAAGCAAAGAATCAGGGAAGGTCACTGTCAAGACTGAAGCTGGAGAGGTGAGTAAGAAACAAGGCTGATGGTCACCATTGGATTCCCAGTCTCAACTCTTAGCTGACATACACATATCTCTTTCTTCATCTGATAGACCCTGACCGTGAAGGATGATCAAATCTTCTCCATGAACCCTCCCAAGTATGATAAAATCGAGGACATGGCTATGATGACCCACCTCCACGAACCTGCTGTGCTGTACAACCTCAAAGAGCGTTATGCAGCCTGGATGATCTACGTAAGTACCAGCAGCAGTCTTCCTTTGGGCGGCTAGGTGGAACTGCTCTGCCAGGCTAAGTGGAAGCCAACGTGCTGTCTCCCTTCCTCACAGACCTACTCGGGACTCTTCTGTGTCACTGTCAATCCCTACAAGTGGCTGCCGGGGTACAACCCGGAGGTGGTGTTGGCCTACCGAGGCAAGAAGCGCCAGGAGGCCCCTCCACACATCTTCTCCATCTCTGACAACGCCTATCAGTTCATGCTAACTGGTGAGTGGCTCCATCTGTTTCAGAGGGATTGTACTATGAATTTCTCTGAAGGGATACTCTGTCTCAGTAATATGAGGAGACTTTTTCAAAGCTTTCATGATTCTGATTAATAGATACTACTGTAGATTTTACTATCTTTACACTATTGTTTCTACTGTTTTAAATGAAAGACACCCCTGCACTCAGTGAGGTGTTGTGGAGGTTTCCTTCTTTGTTTGTTTTTTTAAGTCAAGCTGACACTATGGAGTTGAAAATGTTAAACTTACCTGACTATGTTTCATTCTTTCTGTGTTGTTCATTGAGTTTTAAGTACTGTATTTCTGCTTCTTCACAGATCGCGAGAACCAGTCAATCCTGATCACGTATGTACCCTCCCTACTCAGGTCCCTGCGGGGTTCTCGGGTGCCAGGGGACCTCCTGCCTGACCACACACTCTCTGCTTCTCTCTGTGGTTTGACAGCGGAGAATCCGGTGCAGGGAAGACACACAACACAAAGCGTGTCATCCAGTACTTTGCAACAATTGCAGCGAGTGGGGAGAAAAAAAAAGAAGAACAGCAGTCAGGCAAAATGCAGGTAAATTAATAGGGAGGGGCTGGAATCAATGCTTTTCTGTGTTCCTGGCATGATTTTTGGAAAGGATAACCAGCAATAATTATTGTCCTGCAGGGAACGCTTGAGGATCAAATCATCAGCGCCAACCCACTGCTGGAGGCCTTTGGAAATGCCAAGACTGTGAGGAACGACAACTCCTCACGCTTTGTAAGTTGCTGTTCTGTGTTCCTGGCATGATTTTGGGAAAGGATAACCAGCAATAATTATTGTCCTGCAGGGAACGCTTGAGGATCAAATCATCAGCGCCAACCCACTGCTGGAGGCCTTTGGAAATGCCAAGACTGTGAGGAACGACAACTCCTCACGCTTTGTAAGTTGCTTAACCAAATGATTCCTGAAAAATAGTAAACAGGAGTGTATGGCAGTCATTCTTTTCTTTTGTTCCAGCCATTATGTTTTCAAGAGTAAGACTGAATTTTCATATCATGGCTTTACTGCTTATCCTAAAGGTAATTTGCCAGATTTCAAAAACAGGGATGCCATGAAAAAAATTCTGTTTTGCATTGAGACGCAAATTAAAATAACAGATCACATGCACTGTATCCGATAATGTATTGCAGTGTTAAACAATAGTTTTGTTTATTTTTACTTATCTTTCTGTTTGTTTGCTAAAAGACATACAGATAGACAGAATACCAGGAAGAAAGGGAGGAAGGTTAGGAAAGATGGGAAAGAAAGAGAGAAAGAGAGAGACAGAGAAAGAAAAAGAAGAATGAAAGTAGGAGAGAGAAAGAAAGAAAGAAAGGAAAAAAGACTGAGAGAAACAGAGGGAGTGGGGAGAGAGAGAGTTTCTATTTGAATAATATGTTTGTTTTATGTCAAAATTAATTAATCAAAAGTGAAATGGCCTATTTGAGAACAAGAGAGATTTAAGCAGCTGAACTAGTTAAATAGCTATTTCCATATCATTAAGATGACTGCTCTCTGTATGCAGGATATAGTTAGAAGAGTTTGGCTAACAAAACCCACCCATTCCTTCCCATTTTTACATTCAGCATACATAAAATATACAGCTATGCCACCGTTGATTATTTTCATGGTGAATAATGTAAAAGATGACTTTATGTCAATGGTGGAAATATAGCTGATTCTTAATAAAATGTCTTTAAGTAAAAATCTTGTGCCCAGTGGAGTAAATGGCAAAACTCTTCATTTCATATATATTTTATATATATTATGTAAATCTTAAAACACTTTTACTACTTTAAAGGGCAAATTCATCAGAATTCACTTCGGTGCCACAGGAAAACTAGCTTCTGCTGATATTGAAACATGTAAGACACTTTCCTGAACCGTTCACAATTCATCCATTCATCCATCTATCCATGCAACACCTTTTCACCCAACCATCTATCCTGCCTTCCCTGTTTATCTTCTCCCTAATTTCTTTTTTGCTGTTTCCTTTTGTTTGTAACTAAATTTTCCCTCCAGATCTGCTGGAGAAGTCCAGAGTCACTTTCCAGCTCAAGGCAGAAAGAAGCTACCACATATTTTACCAGATCATGTCCAACAAGAAGCCAGAGCTAATAGGTAGGAAGAATATCTAACTTGGAGGAAGATTGCTGAGCATCAGCTACACTACTACTTGCTTGACTAAACTAAGCCTGCATGTTGCCTCTTCTTACTTTCAGACATGCTTCTCATTACCACCAACCCATACGACTATCACTTTGTGAGTCAAGGTGAGATCACGGTTCCCAGCATTAATGACCAGGAGGAGCTGATGGCTACAGATGTAAGTAACGAACAAAAAAGTTGTACCTATTGTCATCTCTCCCAGACAAAGCTTTTATTTTATTGTTCCTATTGCAGAGTGCCATTGACATCCTGGGCTTCACTGCTGATGAAAAAACAGCCATTTACAAGCTGACAGGAGCTGTCATGCACTATGGCAACTTGAAGTTCAAGCAGAAACAACGAGAGGAGCAGGCAGAGCCTGATGGCACAGAAGGTATTAGCAAAGTCTGCGGCTGACCTGTTAGAAATAGAAGTGGTAATAATAATTCAGTATTTGGAAGATTGAGAACAGTGGAAATGTGTAAAAAAGTGTTTAGGTGGAGCTAGTATATAGGTATGAAACTGCCATCCAAAATATACCCTTTTTTCAATTACGACCTAATCTTTATTTGAAGTATAAATTGCATATGTGTCCATAATTCTTTCCTGGGCTATCACAGTTCTGGATAGCACAGCCTGCTCAGTATACTTATATTAAAAACCCACTGAGAAGACAAAGATTTTTCAGCAAATATATTTCGGCTTGCTTTTTTTAAAGAAAATTGAGACATTAAGTTAAGTGTTAGAATTTCTCCTTCATAAATCACATGTTATTTAGGAATTTTGCACAGGTAAAAGAGAACTTTCCTTCAATTTCTTTCTTCTCCTTTGGAGATTCAAACCCACAATTGTCAGCGCATGGAAGTGTTATCTGAACGTAAGTCTGAGTGAAGCATAGGTACACTATGCTAGGGAACAACTGACTTAGATTTCTCCTTCTCAGTTGACTACTTAATCTCCTAAATGTTATATAATGCATACGTGTTTTAAAATTACTAAGCCCTGTCTACTTCTTCCAAAGAATGCTCTCAGATGGCCAGCTTCAGGACTGAATTCTTAGGTTTTGATCCTGAATTAATGAATATGCCTGCCTTTCTTCTATGACTATAGCAATAAGTCTCCAGAAAGGGGCACTGCTTAATTATTACCTCTAATTTTGGAATGCATTTGCCTTTAGGGTTATAGCTGCTGCCAAAGAGTACAGGTAGCCCAAGTACCTAAGTGTATGTTTTGCGTTACACTCAGGTGGCCAACCTGCTAAGACTTTGGTGTTTTGTTGCCTGGCTTACAGATACCAATTAGCTCTGGACTGAAGTGATGAACTTCAGCTTGCAGGAGGAATTTTTAATAAATACATTGTTTCTAGATGCTTCTGTGAAGATTTTTGAAGACACAAATAGCATTTAGGTGTACTGCTCTGAAAAGCTTTCAAAACAACGATGATTTTTGTTTTAATGACTCTCGTGCTTCCTCTGAGATCCAGTAAGCAGAGTTTGATCACAAGGACATTCAATATTGCAGCTGCTTTGGAAAGGGTTCATCACTCAAAAGGCCTCATGTCTTGTTAGTCTTAATATTTATGTCTCCTTGTCCTTCTGCTTAGTTGCTGACAAAGCCGCCTACTTGATGGGTCTGAACTCAGCAGACTTGCTCAAGGCCCTCTGCTACCCCAGAGTCAAGGTTGGGAATGAATACGTGACCAAGGGTCAAACTGTGCAGCAGGTAACAACCAGACGGTAACTGGGAAGCTCTGTCTTGATTTACTCTCTTGCTCTGGGTACTATTTTCCTTCCGCCGAATACTTTATTTTAGGTGAACAATGCAGTGGGTGCACTGGCAAAGGCTGTCTATGAGAAGATGTTCCTGTGGATGGTTGTTCGCATCAACCAACAGCTGGATACAAAGCAGCCCAGACAGTACTTCATCGGTGTGCTGGACATTGCTGGCTTCGAGATCTTTGATGTAAGGATTCCAGGTCTGAGGACTGCTCTTGCAGGGGGAGTTAGCTATATCAGAGGACTTGCAAGTAATATTCTTCTGAAGGTTTAACATGCTAGTAATTTGCAATTTTCTGGAAGAAAATCCTTCATTTTCTTTTGTAGCACAGAGCAAAATCCTCAGAAGTTTCATCAGTGCAAAAATAGAGTTCTGTTGTTTGTGTAGAAGTAGCAAATAGAATTTTATATGTTGTAATATTTTAACAGTTTGAGCTTAATGTTAATGATTTATAAAACCCAACATAATTACAATAAGTTTACATAAGAGCTTCTAGAGCAGAACTAGGATTTGGAGACCCATTGACAAACATATAACAGGTTAAAGATGTGTAAATTGTTTAAAGGACCAAGGAATGAATAGGTAAGTGTTTAATCAGAGATATCAGCTGTTTAAAAATTGGAGACCAGGGCACACACTCATCTTTTTGGCTGAAGAAAAAAATGCCAAAGTAATTTATGAATTTTAGGACATTCACTAGGAGTATCTGCTCTCGAAAAGTTTCCATTTTCATTACGTAGGTATTTCTTTATGGAGCTGTACATAGGTCCTGCTGTGGTACTGTAGTCGTGTTTTAACTGGGGAGATTTATAAAGGGTTGAAAATGATCAAGAACTGTGCATGTTGATGATGGGTGGCTTTTTTTCCACTTGGAAGTTCAACAGCCTGGAGCAGCTGTGCATCAACTTCACCAACGAGAAACTGCAACAGTTCTTCAACCACCACATGTTCGTGCTGGAGCAGGAGGAGTACAAGAAGGAAGGAATTGAATGGACATTCATTGACTTTGGGATGGACTTGGCTGCCTGCATTGAGCTCATTGAGAAAGTAAATTTTTAATACAAAATATCTTGTATTTTCGGGAACTCATTATTTTAAATTGAAAATGGTTAAATGCTATTAAAAAAAAAAACGTTTCTTCCATGGTTAGTTTCATGCATTCTGTTGTTGAAATATCTCTTGATCTGTATGATTGCTTAATACGCACTAGAGATATTACAAAGTACACAGATAACTATGGAAGTCATTCCTCACAAACCTTCTGTGTGTGAAAGGTATCTCTGCTTGCTTGATTAAAGGATATTTTTTTCAAAAACACAGAACAGCTCCCAAAGCAAAATAAAAATATTTTCTTAAGGTTCTGGAATAAAGTTATGTGGACAATACATTTTTTCTAGATAGTTCATAGTAAAGTAAGTACAGGCCAATACAGTCAGTGCCTGACCTCTGAGTGCAAGAAACTGAAAGAGATTTCTTGTAGTTCCTTATAATTTAGGGAGTTGATTAAAAGTACAAAAACTGAAGTAAATAAACAATGGACACATCTGTGAAAGACATTTTTAAATATAACCTTTCTCCTCCTGATTTTTTAACATGGGTTTTGGCATAAAAACCATTCCTGAAGCACTGTGCCAAAGTGTGAGTCAAGCAGGTAAATCTTTTAAACTCACATTTTAGAAAGAAATTTTCTTCATGGCAAGGGTATTGGTTTGTTTCTCAGCTTCCTGTCTTTTACTGTATTCCTTTTAAGGCCAAGCTGTGATCATATTATTCTACAGGCATTCTCTCTTCTTTATTGTACTATCTATATTCCAGCCAATGGGCATCTTCTCCATCCTGGAAGAGGAGTGCATGTTCCCCAAGGCAACTGACACCTCTTTCAAGAACAAGCTCTATGACCAGCATCTGGGCAAGTCCAGCAACTTCCAGAAGCCCAAGCCTGCCAAAGGCAAGGCTGAGGCCCACTTCTCCCTTGTGCACTATGCTGGCACGGTGGACTACAATATCACTGGCTGGCTTGAGAAGAACAAGGATCCCTTGAATGAAACTGTCATTGGGTTGTACCAGAAATCATCCGTGAAGACACTGGCTTTACTTTTTGCCTCCTATGGTGGAGCAGAAACAGGTTAGTTTTCTAAAATTCTTTTTTTCCAACATTTATGATATCTAAAGATGCAACAAAAAAGAAAATGTTAAAAAACTCTTTTTGTTTCTGAAGAGGCTAGTGGTGGTGGCGCTGGAGGTGGAAAGAAGGGTGGCAAGAAGAAGGGTTCTTCTTTCCAGACTGTGTCAGCTCTTTTCCGGGTAAAGTATGAATTTCATTATTTGTAAAGTGACATGAATGTAGTTTCAAATCTGAGCTATATAAACTGTTCTTCTCATAACCTTGGTTTTATGATGAAACAATAGTAAGTATGACGTGAGCAGAAGTTATTCACTGCCTTTCCCTAGTAATTATCTGTTCACATTTGGGATTTGTTTCAAGCAGTATTCAGCTGACCCCCTGAATTTCTTTTAAAAGTTCACTTACATTCTTTGTGAAAAACATTTTTCAAAATCCAGGATGTAATATCAATATTAATCCTATGAAGACTTGTGTGAAAATTTTTGTACAGTAGTGTTTTACTTTCTACAGACTAAGGTGCAGAATTTTAAACTTTCTTTCAACGAGAATACTTAAGTACATAGAAGGTTTCATTAAAGCTAAATTTTGAATTTGAAAGCTTCTTCCTCCTAAGATTCATTATATTAGTTCTTTGGCATCTAGATACAGCGTATACAGAAATATTTTTTTTTTAATATAAGCTGCTACACATGATCCCACAGGAAAACTTAAACAAGCTGATGACCAATCTACGGAGCACTCACCCCCATTTTGTCCGTTGCATCATCCCAAATGAAACAAAAACACCTGGTAAGACGCTCAAGAAGAAAGACAACTTCCTCTGATACAGCCATTCCCCTCTGCACTGGAAACTGTGGTATTCATTTATGCTCTGAATTGCTAGGTGCCATGGAGCATGAACTGGTACTTCACCAGCTGCGGTGTAACGGTGTGCTGGAAGGCATCAGAATTTGCAGGAAAGGTTTCCCCAGCAGAGTTCTCTATGCTGACTTCAAGCAGAGGTAAGGGCACTGCCCTTCTCAACATCATTAAAAGCAATGTTGGTTCATTCATATATGTTCATTCAGGCTGGGCACTGTTGTCAAAAACAGCTATGTATGAGCTGGTGGGGTCCATTAGCTAGTGTGTGGTGGTTGGGACAAAACAACCTTATCTTCCTTTTTCTCTTTTCACAGATACAAGGTGCTTAATGCCAGTGCTATCCCAGAGGGACAGTTCATTGATAGCAAGAAGGCTTCTGAGAAGCTTCTGGGCTCAATCGATGTGGACCACACCCAGTACAAATTTGGCCACACCAAGGTACAAACCTTCCTTCACTCACTCGCTGCCTGTCTGTGCTTTGCTCTACCTGACAGTGATGTGTGGCAACATTCCCTTTCTCAAGGTGTTCTTCAAAGCTGGGCTGCTGGGACTCCTGGAGGAGATGAGGGATGAGAAGCTGGCACAGCTCATCACTCGCACACAGGCCAGGTGCAGGGGCTTCCTGATGAGAGTGGAGTACCAGAGAATGGTGGAGAGGAGGTAGACATTCCTCATCTTCAGTTAAAGTCACTGTACTTGGGGGAAAGTGTTGGCACTCATCATGCTGAAAATGTTCAATGCACATTTTAATTGTGCTTCAGGGAATCCATCTTCTGCATCCAGTACAATATTCGTGCATTCATGAACGTGAAGCACTGGCCCTGGATGAAGCTGTTCTTCAAGATCAAGCCCTTGCTGAAGAGTGCAGAATCTGAGAAGGAGATGGCCAACATGAAGGAAGAGTTTGAGAAAACCAAGGAAGAGCTTGCAAAGTCTGAGGCAAAGAGGAAGGAGCTGGAGGAGAAAATGGTGAAACTGGTGCAGGAGAAAAATGACCTGCAGCTCCAAGTGCAGGCTGTGAGTAATATTATTTTTTTTTTTTTATAGGGGAAATGAGTGAATAAGTTCTAACTCTTCTTTCATACTACAGAACTCTCAAATTGCACACTAAAGTGCCTTACAAAATATTTTAAGCTGAACACCATGTAACTAAATGTAAAACTGAGACCATATTCTTTCCCCAGTCAGTCTCACTATTACAAAGTGAAGTTTAAGAATGACATTTTAATCTTAATGCCTACCTGTACATGTCTCTATGTGAGATCTTGATATAAAGCCTCAGTGTAGTCACTGTAGTGTATTTAGTGGAGTGGGGACAGTGATTCAGTTGACCAACTACTCTGTCTTAATTCAGTTGTCAAAATGAACAGCCTAGTGCCATTTCTTATGGCATATCTCACTTGAGCTCCTGTATCTGCTGCTCCCAGAAGATGCAGATGTCCATTACATCCTATGACACAAGTGCCAGCTTTGAATATTTGTCTCCAATGGCATTTGGCCTCTCATAAAACTGAGGCAGCATTTACGTAGTACCCTTGAGTTGAAGTGTCCATTTCACAGGATGATGAATCTTGTTCTAGTGTCTGCTGACTGTATTGGCTCGGTATGAATCTACTAATGGGAGTTCAAAATATTTTCTCAATGGTGGAATTATTTACATTTGTTAATACTTGACATAAATTTGAATATGGCATATTATAAAATACAATCACTTTCTAAAGGAGGAAATGGAAACATCAAATTAAATCCAAGTAACCCACTGACATAGCTGAAATCAACAAGGTGAAAAACAATGGAGCTAGACACAGTATCTGATCATGTGAAAGGTCAGGAAAAAAACCAACTGATTAAATATTTATTCTAAATTTGTAATTTGTAATGTATTTACGCAGTAACCTTTTCCCAAAAAGTGATCCCAAAGGTCTTACTGATGCACATCTGTTCATTCAGCATTAAATAACCTTTCCTGTATTTTCCCAACAGGAAGCTGATGCTTTAGCTGATGCTGAGGAAAGGTGTGATCAGCTCATCAAAACCAAAATCCAGCTGGAAGCCAAAGTAAAGGAGGTGACTGAAAGGGCTGAGGATGAGGAGGAAATTAATGCTGAGCTAACAGCCAAGAAGAGGAAACTGGAGGACGAATGTTCAGAGCTGAAGAAAGATATTGATGACCTTGAATTAACACTGGCCAAGGTTGAAAAGGAAAAACATGCCACTGAAAACAAGGTACACACATAAAGGGCCAAGACATCACTGACTCTAAAAGTAAGAGCCTGCTACTGTAAGACATACTAGTTTTGGAAAATTTTGAGCTGGGCCTTGTCTAAGCACCAAAGGATAAATTAAACAGCTGGCAAAACACTGCAAAGTGAAAATGTCACTGCACCAGCAGGCATGTTTTCTACCAAATTTTGACACTTGCTCATATTTGTAGGTGAAAAACCTCACAGAGGAGATGGCAGCCCTGGACGAGACCATTGCCAAGCTGACAAAAGAGAAGAAAGCCCTCCAAGAGGCCCATCAGCAGACACTGGATGACCTGCAGGCAGAAGAGGACAAAGTCAATACTCTGACCAAAGCCAAGACCAAGCTGGAGCAGCAAGTGGACGATGTAAGCACACAGGCATAGAGCAAGAATAAGTCCAGGTACGGAGTTCGACCTGGCTGGCAGAGCACTGATGGTCTTGTTCTTTGTAGCTGGAAGGGTCCCTGGAGCAAGAGAAGAAACTGCGCATGGACCTTGAGAGAGCTAAGAGGAAACTCGAAGGAGACCTGAAGCTGGCCCATGACAGCATAATGGATCTGGAAAATGATAAGCAGCAGCTGGATGAGAAACTGAAGAAGTAAGTGTGGCTGTGGGGCACCTGAGTGCTGGGCTGGTGCACTTGTCTTCTTCCTTTGAGCTCTAACACGGTTTGCTTTGCCCAAAGGAAAGACTTTGAAATCAGCCAGATCCAGAGCAAAATCGAGGATGAGCAAGCCCTGGGCATGCAACTACAGAAGAAGATCAAGGAGCTGCAGGCAAGT